TTTAAGATTATTCAATAAATCTTTAAAACCCTCCTATTGGCTCAGCCTTTCTTCCTGAGTGGTGGGGATGCCCTGATTTGAGGGTGGGGGGAAGATGGAGGAGAGTGAAGAGAGGACTCTTGGGCTGGAGGAGCTAAGGGGCAGAAGATACAGGAAGCAGGCCCAGGTGAATGAGAGGTTGCTCCACAGAGCTAACTGTTGTGTAGGTTGTGAACAGGAGTGCCTGACTGAGGAGGGTGCCCTCCTGATGTGGGGCTCTGGCCACCTTTTTCTAACTCAGAGATGTCATACAAACTAGGTAGGGACTACCTTTACCACACACACCCCTGCCCGGATCAACAAAAAGGAGCCAAGGGTTTTCATTCATGACCACCTGGGTTCCCAGAGATAAGTCGTTCCTCAGATGACCACAAGAGGACGCCCCAGCCCCAGAATGCAGCAATGAACCTGGGTGGCTTCCGCTCTTGACTAGGGTGATTAGGGGGAAGAAGGGTATCAAGGTTTGCCAATAAAATTCCGGATGCGGGTGGAAGAAAAGGAGATTCTCTGCTTTCAGCTCAGGAAGTTTATCTTCTCTCATAAAATGTTTATCCTCTCATTAAACAGAGACTTTTAGGAGCCAAGGCTCCCCTTGCTCAGCTCCCTCTCCAGAATTGGGGGAAGGGAAGAAAAAGCCCTCCCTCAGGCCTCCCAACTCCAAGGAGGATGTGGGAACTCTCCTCCTGTATACTGAGCATAGCCTGGGTGGGCTGCACCACCAAACCTGAGACTAGCCACAAAGCTGCTTCAAGGATCCCCTCCTCCAACCTTCAAGAGTCCTGTCCCACCCCCCAATCCACTAACAAACCATGGCTAATGCCAAGCCCACATTAGCTTGGCCTCTCCACTCAAGAGAAAGTGCAGAGGCCTCTCAGTTCCCTCCTGGCCTACCCCTTTTCCTTCTCCCCTTCCCCTTACAGAAAGCTGTCCCTGGCGTTATATTCCTAGATTTAACATACAACTATAGGGGAGTGTTCCCCGCACAACCTTGCTGGTCATGAAGGTAGATATGACCAATGGGGACTGAGCTGGAGTAAGTAAGCTAGAGACAGGCGCCAGGAATACTGAGCTCCGCCAGGGGGTCCCATAGCCATACTCTAGCCCATCACAACACCACTCTATGCCAAGAGACAGGTACCAGCTCCTTCAGGGATCAGAGCTGACTGAGCTCCAGACAGCAGGAACTCCAAGTTCCCTCCTAGGAACAGTGACACTTGAGAAAAAGCTAGGAAGGATGACTCAAGGGATGAGAAAGTTCGCACTCCTCTCTACTAGGGCTTAATTTTGGCAAAAATAGAAAAGATAGGGAGGACTTTCCAAAAGCCATGTGTGTGAGGCCACAAATTGGAGGGGATGAAAGTTAATCCAGCCACACCTGGCATGGGCTCCCCGCCAAGGCACGGTATTCTCACCCTATCTTCTCTCTTTCCCCACACAACGCACTTGTGACTCCAGGACTGAAGGACTCTGCCATAATGTCAGTTACCCTGACCAACTGCTCACCCTTGCAAGGATGCACAGAGTCTGTCAGAGCTGTCAACAGAACTTTATTCATTGGAAACTGGGCCAGAGAGACCCCTCAGGGAACTGCATGCTCCTAGGCCCTGTCCCCTACTGTTTGGACTCTATTGAAATGTGTACAGTCTGCCCTCCCCAATGCCAGGGAGAAACAAATAGAAGGGGAATGCCAGTTTTCTCTATGATGTGGGGAATGAAAGGAATATAAGTAGTTATCTCCCCTGAGGCTCCTAGTGGAGCTGGGGTGCCAGAGAGTACATGGTCCCAAAGCCAAGTGCAGACACCACCCACCTCTCAAAGGTAAACTCTTGATTCTAGCTGTTGGATCAGGTTGGAAAGGAGCCTGATAAGATCACGACAAGCAGAAGTGGTAGCTCTAAGGGCACCTGAGAGATACTACCCCCAAAACCTACCAGGCACAGGAGCTCTGGCTGAAAGTGAAGGTTCAAAATCATTCCAAGGCCCAAGGTGCCAAAATACCCAAATGACACTGATGTGTTGTGGCTGCAGAAGCTGGGGAGCCAGTGGGGAGTGGGAGAGGAAAGGACTTGCAAATCCCCAACAGAAAAACTAGAAGCACAGACAGGGAGCCCCAGAGGTGGCATCTGGATAGGCCCTGGCAAGCTGGAGGTGAGTCCACAGCAAACAGTCCCAGGGTCTTGCATAGTGACACACTCACCACCTCAGCATTGCAGAGACCCACTGGGTAAAGAGAAGCTGTTATCCTGTCCCCACCCAGGTCACAGTCTTCCAGAGTATCCCATTGCAATGTCCTGGATGTATGGCTTGGAGGCTTGGCATGACAGCCATGGAGGCAGGACAGGATTCACGCCAGGACTTCGGAGATCAGGTGTTAATGTTGTCCTAGCACAGGGGGCTGTGTAAAGCATGAAGCTAGAGAGGTGGGCGGGCAGGGAGTTTTCAGAGGTAGACATTGAGGGTCTGCAGAATGCCCCGACGGCAGAGTGGGCAGTTGCGGTGGTAGATGGGATGGCGCATTAGGATTTCAGTGCAGGCCTGGCACAGGCACAGGTGCCGACAGGGCAGAAGCAGCACAGTCTTACTCTGGTCCTGGCAAATGACACACTTCTTCCGCTCCTCTTGCTCCTTCAGCAACTTCCACGGGTCTTGCCCAGCTATAGGCTCCTCCTCATTGAGCCTCTCCCGGCCCCGGGAAGCTGTCGCTCTGGCCATCCTGATTTCCTCTTCCTCAGCCTCTGATCTGGGCCCTGCTTCAGGAAGAGTGTCCTGTCGCCAGGTCCTGGCTGAGGATACCCTTCTAGAGCCACTTTGAGGGGCCCCAGGGGCCCCTCCCCGGTTTGGCCAACTCGCCAGCTGCAGGCTGCGGCTCCACACTCGGCGCCAGGCCTCCAAGCCCAGTGCTAGGTGAGATAGCCGCACAACATCCTCTCGGAGCCGGTGGTAGGATGGACGGGCATGGAGCTGACTGAGGACCCGGGTGGCCAACCTCATGGTGAGGTCAGGGTGCAACATAGTCACCGTCACTGCCAGCACGCAAGCCAGCAGCACCAGGCCGGTGAGATTGACGAGCACAAAGCTGGCCAGAAGGCGGGCAGCTGAGGCCAGGAGCTCCAATACTAGTTGGCAGGGGGTCCAGAGGAGGATGGCCATGGCGACAGCACTACTGGAAATGTGAGCTAGGAAGGCAGCCATAACATCTGTCATCCTCCACAGTGGCCCCATCACTGCATCCCAAAGGGCCAGCACCAGGGAGAAGAGATTCTGAGTACCAATGAGGAAGATGTTGACCAGGCTGTTGATCACGTAGGCCACCAGGCTCATAGCAATGGCACAGATGTCACAGGCCTGGCGTAGCAAAGCATGGCCACTGGAGACCACATTGAGGACACCTCGGTGCAGTATATCCCGGCTCCTCAGTGCCCCATGAGAGGCTAGATGCCCCAGGAGCTTCAGGCTCTCTAGGCCAGAGCAACAACTGTACAGCAGGGTACACAAGGCCTGCAAGCCGCCAAAGGTGAACCGGACCAAGGCTTCAATAAAGGCCAGAAGTGAAAGCAGGACTCCACGGCCCAAGTGCAGAAGACTAGTCAGTACCGTGTGTGGCAGGTTGTAGATGAAGGCCAGGAGCCAGGCCAGGGAAGCCAGGAGGGAGGACACCAGCAGGAAGTTGAGGTCCAACACCAAGGTCAGCACGTCCAGCACCAGGCCCACACCATTCACCACCAGGTACACAGCCTCCATGATAGGGCTATAGAGGAAGTCTGGCTCCTGGTTGAGAGGGGTGTCAAGATTGCCAATACTTGGGGGATGGATGGGGGTTATTTTGAAAGGGGCATGAGCAGTCTCCAATCCAGGGAGAGAATCAAAAATCTGAGAAAGTAGGTTAGAGGCAAGTGGCGGCTCAGTGGAAGGAACGGGGGCCAGGTGCTGGTCCAGTAGTCCCGGTTTTGAAGGCGGGCTGTTTGGGAGAGAAGAGGCCAAACATCTCTAAAGTGGAGGTGAGCCCGAGCTGGAGGAGAGACTTCAGCTTTGGGGGCCTGGTGGTGGTGTACCACGACAGGCAATGAGTCAGATGGAGAGCAGACCGGGAACGGATGGGATTGGACCGGGCCGGGGCCGGGTGGGGGCGGCGTAGGCTGGGCGCGGGCTCGCGGTCCAGCTACGCAGGTGCCCCTGTCCCCGCCCGGCCCCCGTCCTCTGGGCTCGCGGGGCTCGGCGCCCAAGGGGGAAGTGGAAAGGGAGTCAACCTCAGCAAGCCCCAGGTGCGGCCTCCACTCCGCTGGGCGCCGCCATCTTGTGTGCGAAGGGGTGGGGGCAGAGGGTGACAAGGAGGGACGGACGACGAACACCGGCCAATCGGCGAGGGCCAACTGCAAGAAACCTCGAACATTCATTGGTTTGTTTGAACGGCGCCCAAACTTATTTACTTTCCAAAGAGGCGGTGGAGATAGTGAAATCTCCGCCCTTTTGAGGAGGTTATTGGTCAGCTGACAGACAGAGGCGGAATATGCCCTCCTAGACCCGCCCCCGAAAAGAGCAGGACTTTGGGCTAAATGTGGGCGATATTCTTTCTCTTGGCCTCCAGGAGTGATCTTTTTAGATGCAGATTGGCGATCACTGTCTCTGAGCTGGGATTGCACCGTTTCCGCATCCTTCTCAGACTCTCCGCCTCGTCCTCCTCTATCCATTAATTTATTCTCTCATTTATTGAGCTCATACAAATGTACTGGGGATACAAAAAAAAGTGTTTAAGACGGGGTCCGCTATCAAGCAGTTCACAAGGAGAAACATTGTTACAAGGGATTCCCAAGATACTATTCCAAACTGTTTCCTCAAGCTCCATCAGGTTTTCTCAGCATCCTCAGATGTTGAGAAAAGGCCACAAGACAGGAAATAGCTCACTCTCCTACCGCAGTCCCTATTAGTTTACTTGAACACTAGTTATGTATCTATTCTATGGCCTCGGTGCCTCAAGAAGTTGTCCTCTTCTTTCATATTCAAGTAATATTTAAAATGTATTTGAGACCCATTCCAAAATACATTGTGAAGCTTGGTAATCTCTACTACTGCGAAGGATACTTGGGGGCTTATCCTTCCCCTGGTCACCATTGCTTTGATTTCCTGCTTGGAGTGAATTCATCTCCACTCTGGCCTGGGCTCCTAAAAATATCTGTCCCCCTTCACCCCTTTCTGAACACTGCCTAAATCCTTCATCCCCTAAAGTGCCACTGATACAAAGTCGAGGTGACAAGTGAAAAATTTTGACAAGTGAAAAATTCTGAGATGTTCTAAATTAAATTACAGCATGGGTGAGTGAGAGAGAGACAGGAATTATTATTAACCAGTTAATAGCTGTGGGCCAATTAACAAAAGAGTGATCGCATTCCTGAATGTATGTTGGAGCTTTGAATCAACCTCCAGGCATTCATTAGCAACAACTAGACAACCATTAGATGCCACTTTGTCCTGCGTATGCATAAACTTTCACAATTATTGCCTGTTAACCAATCAAAAGTAGTAAATATTTCTTCCCATCATAGAACTGCCACCCCCTTCACCTTATCCTGCCCTCCTTATCTGTAGCCAATGTAAATTCTATCAAAACAGCTTACATCTTTCTTCTCCAAAACATAATGTATAAAAGCACTCAGCAACTCCAGGACTGCTTATCTTTTCCAACTAGCCATGCTGCTGGTGGTTTAGACTTCATACCCCCAGATCTGGTCCTTTTCTGTCTAGAAATACAGCCCAATAAACCGTTTCTTGGAGTCAAATATGTGGTGACAGAAATAAATCTAACTATGGGTAGTAAACACACAATGTAATATATATATA